CAAAATTGGAACTTGTTTGAAATTCCCATCTTCTATCTACTTCTTGCAATGACTGTGTAATAGTTAGTAAAATTCCCAGTATGCATGATAACCATCACCAGTACTAATATTAACCATATACCGTATACCAGTATAATTATAGTTGCTTTTATCATAGTTCATATATATATATGTGAAAAATTAGCAATGGTATTTGATATTATAGAGTTTCATGATATTTGGGACCCAAAATGAAGAGAATCTTTGGAGGATAATCCCATCTCCCCACGATGAGATATGAAGGGTCCACTAAACCAAGGTTTCTAGGAGACATGACTTGCCACCTGTTTTGGTGTCGGACCTTTCCTTTTTTTTTGGGGGGGTGGTGCTTTTTGATTACCCATAATGTAGGACTACTCACCAACTGGAATATGGTGATTGTGGTAATTACCAAAGATAGCATATGGCCATACTTGTATAGAGGCAATTCTCCCAATATGGCTCAACTTTGAAGGGTGGTGAATTTCGAAATCTGTTCGCCAGATACGTTGGTTCAGGGTGCGGGTGCTGAGCCAGGGGAATTCATCAAGCATTCTCAACAAAAGTTACCCTCTGGTAAACTAACATAACTATGGAAAATCACAATTTTCAATGTGTAAATCCACTATCAATGGGCCATTTTCAATAACTATTTTGACATAACCAGACGGTATGGCTTCAGGATCCCAGGAATCTGACCTAGCGGGACATCCACGGTGAAAACATGGTTGTGGTGTTAAATCCTCATTCTTCTTCATTTGTGGTGGTTGTGTGGAGGTGTCCTAAAATAGGGTGCAGTATCCCCCAAATCATCCAAGGCATTAGACCCTTTTAGTATTGAAATCTACTTGTGACTTGATGATCCTCCATTTTACACAAAATTCCCATATATATCTATCTACCATCTACCTACCTACCTATCTATACACATCCCCATTATAGCATCATTTTTTTGGATTGACCTATGAAAAATTGTCATTTTCGCTATGTTCAGCGCAGGCTACTTGGTGAGTTCCTGTGGGACTCAATGGATCAACTTCACTTCTCCCACGTTGAAACCATGGTTTTCCCATGGTTTTCCAAGGTTTTTTTCCCATGGTTAGTGGGGAAAATCATGGGGAAATCATGGGTAAATCACAAGCTCCAGGCGCTTGCTGTTGGCGCGCCGGGCCGACGTTCGGTCGACGCCTGGCAGTTGTTTCTAACTGGAAGAAGCAGATGCATTTAACGCTAGAGTTGCCTAGGGTTTATGGTTGCTATAAAGTATATAGTTAAGTATATGGTTTATGCTAATCTATGGTAATGATATGTAATAATCACCACTGATGAGCCATATGAATTTGATAACTCCATTTCATGTCGCAACAAACCTATTGAAATAACGCGAAATATGGTATTGTTTGAAAATTGGTGTACCCCAAACTCATGTTTTTTTCATGTGTTTCCCATATGTGTTCCCTATTAAATGCAATTTTGGGGTAGCTCCCATGTTCAGGCATACCCATATCACCCATGTGTATCTTGACCAACCTCAAACAGTCGTAAAAGAGCGCAAACAAATTCGGGAAAACATCAATTGTTTGGAGACACATTGCTGATTCACCCCTGAAATTTTGGGTTACAGCAACCCAAAGATAGAGCCTAAAAGTTGTTTCAACCTGGAAAATGATGCAGGCAACATTCATCATCTAACTAACGAACGTCCCGGAAACACTTCTAAAGGGAAATCCTATTCTAGTCCCTTATAATTAATATACCATAATATACCCAATTTTGTACCAATTCACCAAGCGTGGATGAAAACCCAGGAAAGATGTGGAGGACAAAGAGCCTTTGCACCACGCGGCGTTCAACGACAACGGCCATGTGGCCCAGCTCCTGTCACTCGACGTTGCAACGTTGTTGCAGTTGGGCGTGGGTCCTGATGCCTTGCTATGATCCACGCCACCGGGCCGGGCAGAGGCCAAGCCGGTCCAATGGAGACCCACTGGTGTCAATCCATCTAGATGGCCCCAGACATGATGGAAGCCTATCTAATGCATCCAATCAATGGAAATTTCAGGATCCTAAAATGGAGGTACCGTACCATATAAGGCCATATTTTGCGGGGATATTCCCTTACATAGGCCTTATATAGGGTAGATACCATCAATGTAGGTTCCTGAAATGGCCATTGACATGACACATCTTGGGGGTACTAAAAGCCTCGAATCCATCATTTGGTGGTGTATTCTGGTAGAATGTTGGAATTGGAGGTACTAAACCCTTGATTGATGATTTTTAAGGGTGGTGTCTTCGTTCGGAAGCCAAGGGTTAGTGCCATTTTGATTTTTTTTCCGGCACTCTTTGTGGCACCCCCAATGAATATTGTTGCTTCGTTCTTTCAAAGCCCTAGGGCTCAAATTGGGGATTGAAGCAAAATCCTGCGTGTTTATGGCGGGCAATTATGCAATCCGACAAATGGAGTAGCGCTGGGCCGTCATATGAACTTCTTTCGAGATTGACACCTTGCCAAGGGGTTGTATATTACTGGTTGGTGGTTTGGAACATGAATTTATGAGTTTCCATTCAGTTGGAAATTTCATCATCCCAACTGACTTTAAGTTATATTTTTCAGAGGGGTAGGTTGCAATCACCAACCAGCAAGGATAGGATCTATTCCTTAATATACCATAATATACCCAATGTTGTACCAACGGACCAAGCGGGGATGAAAACCCAGGAGAGTCATATGAAATGATCTAAACCACGACGAGAAATGGTTATCTCAATCATCTTGGTCATCGCATGTTCAGAGGAATTACTATGGTATAACAAATTGTATAATGATGATAATATATAATTATATATATAATGATATATATAATATATGATAATAATAATGATAATAATATTGTGATAATTCCATGTTCAGAGGGATTGTTCTGTCCATTCATTGGAGAATCCCCAATGACAGCGGGAGGACCGGGGGCCCCCATGGCGAATCCCAGCACTGTGGATGCTCCGCGCAGGTTGGAGCATCGTGCCTCGTTGACCGCGGCAGATCAGCGGAAGCTCACGGCCTTTGGCAGTGCGGCCGATGGCGGTTACCCTGAGCTGTGACTGGGCTGAGAGCGGCTTGCCTAAGGGCTACCAATGGAAAGGGAGACCGAGGCTACCCCAGTTCACTAATCCCATCTAATATTTTTGACACCCCCATTCTATGGTCTCAAAGATTGTGGAAATTCCCTGCTAAACCATGGTTTCTGGGGGGTGTTTAATATTAGGGGAATGGGATTAATTAGTTCATCAGAAAAATCCCGATTGAAATTGGGGAGATGGTTTCCTCGAAGCAAGATGCGTTCGTATGTCCTTGATGAAATTTAATGACTTTACCTTGACCCTCGAACAGCCCTCTTTTTTTGGGGTTATTCAAAAGAATGGCATTCTTTCTCGAAAGCACTTTTTTTGTCAAAGCGAACTTTTTTTGATTTTTGATTGAGTGGTCCTGATAACTTCTTTCACTCTTAGATTTTGCACTTGGGCTTGTGAAGAAAACCAATTAAGATCAACAATTCCAACCGATACATTCAATATAATCAAAAATGGATAGGTTCAAGAGGTGTAGGGAATCCAGCGGTCTGATTTGCACCGCTTTGGACTTTGTCTGAGACAGTGCGCCCCCCCCTTTGCCCATTGCATGCATGCAATGCTTGCAACTGGAGTTGATGGGGTGTGATGGATTTGCTTTTCTCTCAAATACATTTTCTTGTGATTCCAAGTGGCTCAAAACAACAGCATCAGTTGAAAACAGAAGAAGGCATTAGTGAGATGAATGCTTTCACTGAAAAGCATCCGGCTATGAAAGCCGCGTTGACCTCCCGAGGCAGGATGTTTGAATTGCTTTGACAGAAAAAGTGCTTTCAAGAAAGAATGCCATTCTTTATTCCCTTTCAAGTATATATACCCCAAAAAAGGAATGCTGTTCGAGGGCCAAGGTTTACACATTTGGGTTATCTATGGTCTTTACATCTCCCCCTTTATATATATCTCCCCCTATGGCCATTTGGCCATGTGCCTTTAGCCCATGTGCAGGCTTGGATGGATTGCCTGATGATTTTTGGAAGGACGTCACCAATGTCATCTATGCCCCCAAAGTTGCTGGAACAAATAGCTGAATGGAACCTTGTTGACTGGGATGTTGTTTCTTTATTATGGGACCATTATCCATAAACCTCGGGATTCTGTACATCTATATTTATGGGACCATCGCTCACTCAATTTGGGACATCTAAGGTGTTGGACATCTCAGAGGAGGTCTTCCAAACATTGATGGCGAACTTTGACAAAGGGGGCACAGTTTCGCAATTGGTAAAGAACTTCCGTGATGGAAACTTGGTTAAACACATCCCTGTATAATGGAGTATTGTTATCACATTTTAGTTTTAATTCTTAAAAACCCTTGATACCAATCATATCCACGAATCACCATACCTGCCCCGGGAATATGAACTTTGGAATTGATAGAATGCCATTCTTTTGAATAACCCCCCAAAAAAGCAGGCTGTTCGATGGATATTTCACAAAGCCCTTTATACCAAACAAATCCACGAATCCCCATATCTGCCCAGGAAAATAAATACGTGTGAGTCTGGAGAGAAAAATCCACTGTATAGAAAGGGACCCAATCCTTTTCAGCATCCGGTGCCCTGGCAAGTGCCATTGTGAAAACAAATGCGTTGGGTGATTGCGAGCTCGTGGTTGGATAGCTGAGATCAAAGTTGGACAACATTGGTCAGGTTATTTCATAAATCTAAGGGGACCCTTTTGTAGTGGCATAGAAAGTCATTGGTAATGAATTCAACATTCAACTGAAATAAGGTTGGGGAACCCGTCATATTTCCTTGGCCCACGCAGGTCTTTGGTGGAATGATGACGCAGCCATCCAACCATGGCCAGGAAACTCAGTCCATCTACGCCCGCAGGTAGGCATGAATATGATGTTTGAAACATGGAAACAAATTATGAACACGAGGGTTGAAGAATAAATTTCATAGTTCATCATATACCACTCCAGCTGCAATAGTTGAAAACACAAAGGAACCCAAATGCTCATTAGGTCTTTGAAATCACACCCACCTTTTTTTTACTTTCAGGCATTTGGCCCAAGGTTTGGCAGCTACCTCACATGGCAGTCATGTCTGCCACCATTGCCCTCAGTGGGCTGGCTGATCAGTGGGAAAGCCATGGCCAAATCAGGCAGTCGGCACGAGCTACTGGGCACTTGGTCAAATGGCCGAACCCGAAGGCTGTTGGAATCCCCAGCATGCCCCTTGTCTAATTGATCTGGTTGAGATTCATGTTACTGGTGGAGATTTTCTGACAAAGATTCTGTTACATATGATATTGCCCTTTGTCAGGAAAGCTATTCAAATGAACTTGCCGGTGTTGATCGAAACGGCCCAGGTTTGGGTTGAAGTCTTTGACTATAGTGCGGCTGGGTCTCCCCGCACTCCACCTTTGCCAAGCTTGACAGCTGAGGTCCTGCCACATGGGGTAATGGAAACCAGTTCACAAACATTCAAAATGGTTTGCCTACTTCTTGAATTCCCTCTCTTAGCCTTCCCTTTGACAGGTGAAGAAGTTCTGGACCCTCATGGCAGTGGCAGGCTGTGACAACCAGCCGACCCGAATCGATATTCAAGCTGATGCATGGGGAGTTCGTAAGTTGATCTCGCACACTTTGAGATCTCTTCGGTTATCCCGAGAACCACGTGAACTTAGGATGCATTTTATACATATAAAAAAAATTAAACTATAGTAAGGACAATTATCTTGACCCCGAAAAAACATAACATGTACTTTGACGACTCAAAGCCCTGCATGTCGTGTACCACAGGAAATACCATGTGCTTGCATGCTGGCTCTAAGGATGCTGCGATCCAGGAACTGTTGGAGGTCTTCCGGGATGCTTGGCATTTGGAAGAAGGGATCAATGACCAGGAGCGTACTGATGTTTGAAGGGTTGGGGTCCACAAGTTTAACCAATAAAAGCCATATGTTTTTCAATCAAAAACCACATGTTTTTTTAAAAAAAATCTGGCAGGACATTCCAGAGGACAGTTTGGGCATGAGTGACACTTTGGACTACGGGGAAGGAGATGGTCAGGAGGATCAGGAGGATCAGGAGGATGATGTTGACACAGCTGTCGATTCAGTTCCTCTTGCTCTTGTGCCTGATGATTGGCTTGAAGATGATGTTGCAGGTGATGACTCTCAGGAGGGGGGGGAAGTGCCAGGGGCAATTGCTTCTACTGGAGCCGGGGATGCTGATGTTCATGCTGCTGAGGGACCAAGGACATCAGGCACTGCGAAAGATCCCAATGACCCAACCACCTTTGACACGATGCCCTTTGACTACCTTTCCCAACACATGGTAGAACCTGAGCCAAGTCAGCATGAAGATGTTGATGAGTACCTGAACGCCAGAATCAAGTTTCTCGAGTAACCCTTCTGCATTGTCAAGTCAACACTTGAAGTCCCTGGTTGTTTCAAAGGTTGGCAAATTGATCAATTTGTTTGTTATTTGTGTTTCTCTAGAGTTGCTGGTTATGTTAGCCCAGGCAACAGCTTGAAGCTCGAAAGCGCAAATCCTTGACCAGCACCCCTGTGCCTCATCTTTTGTTTACACATGACACGGGGTGTGTAATATGGATATTGAAAATGAAAACCTAAAGTTTTATACCCATCCTAGCCTGGATAGTGGCAGCTGTTGCTTCAGGTGGAGACCAAGCCATGCTCTAGGGCCTCTGCAGATGCCTCGGCCTCTTGTGATGATGTTGTGATACTCGAGGATACTTATTCCCCGGGAACTCCAATTACACCAACTGTTTTGGAGGGCTCGGTTGCAAAGACTCAGCTTGACAGTGATTTGTCACCGTCGGTTTGTGTTCCCTCAGAACCAAAACCTGATGCTCCTGGTATTCTTGATTCAGAAATTCAGTTTGAATCTGACATTGAGTCGGACCCAGAAGAGGAGAAGGAACGTGAAGATGACCAGGTGATTGAAACCCCTCTTGATGGCGCCGAGCCTGAGAAGTTACTTCGACGTTGTGACCAATTGTCTGCAGCCAGGGAAGATTCACCACCCAGAAAGGGGAAGGGTCGTGGTCGTGGTCGGGGGAAGGCTAAGGAAAATGCTGGCAAGGGAAGGGGAAAGGGAAGGGGCCGCCCACCCAAAAAGGCACACGATCAAGCAGAGCAACCAGCAGAGACCAAACAGCCTAGAAAGCGCAGAGCCAAGTCAGACCCACCTGTCGAGCCCAAGCCTCCTGCTGAGACAGACGATACTCCTGTGACTGTGGCTGAGAAACCCAAACGCAAGAGAAAGATTGCCCCAAAGGATGATGAGGCTGATGCTGAAGTTTCCGAACCCAAGAAATGTACCAGAAAGACCAAAAACGCTGCTGCTTCTGATGCTGATGCTGGTACTGTTGACCCAGCTCCCAAGAAGAAGGCCAGAAAGGCTGCACCCAAGTCGGCTACTGATTCTGCGGGATCGTCCGCACCCTCTGCACCCTCCGCAGCTGAGCCAAAGACCCCAAAAAAGGTGTCACCCAGGGCGATTACAGGTAAGAAGAAGGAAGACCTCAAGAAACTCATCAAAGTCTTCTCGTATTCGTACGTGGTCCCATATTGGTCCAGAGCAGCGGTTGGTTTGAAGATCCCCAAAGAAGAAGGTGGTCTATCCCAGGCAGATTTTTAAACTTGCAGGGGAAAATGTCTTGTGTGGAAATTCATAGTAGTAAACACTTGTCAACTGTGGTTGTTTCCCTTCCTCTTGTGTCACGTTGCTGCTGTGCACTTGGGTAGGCTTTCTACATCGGTGTCAAACAGTCTCCGATGGCATTGGCATTGCAAAGAATCCAAGAACTTGCCACTGGGTTGTTTGCTGTTTACTTTCACAAAGTTTCAACATGTTTTCAACTTGTTTTAGGTTTTCTGTAGTAGGCACTGTCCGTCCATCCGAGGCTCAGTTGCTGGAGGACAACCGTGGCAACTATGTGGCTCCCGAAGTGATTGAGAAATGGAGGGCTGTCAAACAAGAGCTGCGATAAAA